CAATTGAACGTCAATGGGGTTGTCTTGGTCAAAGGCCCTCACTGTGTTTTTAAAATTGTGTCAATGTGTAGAACTATTTAAAAAAAAAAAAAAAAAAAAAAACTGCCTTTCACTGGATGGCCAATCCTAGCCTGGCACTTTAGAATAATCACAAGCAGTAATCTTACAGTAGTTCTGATGAAACATTATGAAAGGTGAAGTAGAGATGGGTCAGGAATGGCCTTACCTCGTAAAGATTTACAAAGACCTTTTATATCCAGTGTGTCATTTAATCCATTTACTCCTCACTACCATTGCATACTTGGTAGAGAGTCAGTGAAAAAGGGGAAGACCCTCAATAAGATGGGTTCACACTAAGTGGCAGCAACAATGGGCTCAAACATAGCAACGATTGTGAAGATAACTCAGGACTGAGCAGTGTTTTATTCTGTTGTAATAGGGTTGCTATGAGTTGGAGCTGACTCAAAGGTACCTAACAACAACCATCATCACTGCATAAGAAAGGACTTTTTCCCTGTTTTTATAGAACCAGGACCTGAACCCAAGATATTCCAAATCCATACTCAACCCCAACTTCCCAAATTATCTCTGTCACCCTGATGTCCTAGTGCTTGAAGTTCCATTCAAGTCATTCCACTGGTGCCATTCTCCCTTTATGAGAATAAGAAAGAAAATTATAAAGAAAATAGGGAAAGATCCATACTCTGAGTCACATCCACATCAGTGCAAATAGAAGAAGTTGAAGTGTGAGGCCCATTGCATCCATGGCCAGCTGAATCCCTGGAGCACTGAGTGCCCTATGGAGAGGGCTGGAGGGAGTCAGTGAGGAATGAGAGCAGGTAGGGTGTACCAGTGGAGAACTGTAGCCTAGCCACAGAGCTTGACTGTGTGCAGAGATGTTACATTTCTGCAGACTTAAACTAGTGGATAATTGCTGAAATGAAAGTTGTGAAGCTCATTTGTTAATGATGCTTTTCATTTTGTTTTATAATCTTAGGCATGTTCCAAACAAGTTCTGTGCCTCAATCCTGTCATCTGAGACTTAGTATAAATATGGCCAATCTTTGCTTTTCTTTTTTCCACAAAAGAGAGGACAATGTCTACAAAACTGAGTCCTCCTTAAATGATTTATGTAATTTGCAAATTTTTAAATTGCTTATTAAACATTATTAATTAAACAACTGTCATCTTTGGTTAAGGTCTGAGGACAGTGCCAACTTTTGGAATGTATCAGTACATCTCGATCTTGGCTGCTCGGTTGTTTTGTATGTATTAACATCCTCTGATATCACTGAGTTGTTCATTCATCAAACATTTATTGTAAAAGATACTACTGCTATGCTGTGGCTATATGATTTTGGCATTTTTCTTGATTCTTTTTTTTTTTTTTTTTCCCTCACAAAGCAGCTTGACCAGTAGAATCGGGAGTCAAGAACTTAGAGTCTGGTTTGGTTCTTCAGAGCAGATTAAAAAAAAAAAAAACACTTGCTCTCAAGTCAACTCCAATGACTCAAGAGTAGAACTGTCCTCCATAGGGTTCTCAGTGGCTGATTTTTCAGAAGCCTGATTGGCCAGGCCTTTATTCTGAGGAACCTCTGGGTAGACGCAGACCTCCAACCTTTCATTAGTAGCCCAGCACTTATAGTCCTTGTTCCAGGGAACAGGAGATTTTGTTAAGAAAGAGAGTCCACATATATTATGACTAACAGGGTGAGGCAATATGAGGTAAATGTCAAATGATACAAACAGATCGTGCCCACTTTCAGTAGGAATAATCTGTCCAAGAAGGTTTTACCACCAAAAAGGTGGCAATGAGCAGATCTCGGGCAGGTGGTGGCAGGAGAATCACAGAGAGGTGCTCCTCGGCTCGCCAGCATGGGCACAGCAGGCTCAGTGGTGTGGTGGCAGGAAGGTACAATATGTTCTGGAAATAGCAAGCCATCAATTTAGTGGGTTTGGCAGAGTGGACTGGGGTCAGACAGATCTAAGTTGAAATAGTGACTCTTTCACCTGTTAGTAAGGAGCTCTCGTGGTGTAGTGGTTAGGGCATTTGGGTGCTAACCAGAAGTGAGTGGTTTGAACCCACGAGCCTCTCCATGGAAGAAAGATGAGTCAGTCTGCTTCCGTAAAGATTTACAGCCTTAGAAACCCAATGGGGGTCGCTATGAGTCAGAATCAACTCAATGGCAGTGAGTTTTGGTTTGTTAGTTAGCTGTGTGACCTCAGACAAATAACTTCAACATACGGTGGTGTTGTGGGACTAGATAAAATCATATATGCTAAAACATGGTCATGTTGTCAGAAGGAACCATTCCCCAGAGAAGGATATTATTCTGGTTACCTAGGGCCGCTCTGACAAGAATATCTACCACAAATGGGATGGCTTTAACAAACAGGAGTTTATTCTTACAATTAGGAGGCTTTAAGTCCAAGTTCAAAGTGCCAGGCTCTAGGGACTGAAACTTCCTTAGCCCTGGGCTTCAGCTCTGCCTCCTGCTCCCAGCCTACTGAAGCTAGAGGCTTTTCCTCACTCAGACAGCTGCTGGCTGCTGAGACTGACAAGCCCAAGATTGACAAATAAAAAGGCCCAATGTTACCAAATCACACGGCAGGCCATTAACTCAAGTCCATTGAAAGTCCCAAGGTTGGCAGAGCATGGCAGGCTGCTGAACAACAACACAGCTACATGCAGGGTTCAAGCATGCCATAAACTAGAGACCATTCCCAAAGTTGTTTCTTATGTATGGGAAGCAGACCACATCCCAAAGGCAGCTACTCAGCTGCTTGTGGTAGGTTCCACCATGGAGTTGATTGCCAGTCTCATCATGGGAATAACCACCACTAGTTGCCCAGCCACTCAACCAGGCCCAGCCAAGTTGACACACAAACATAACCACCACAGATATCATGCTTAGTAAAGTGGAGGGTCAATGTAGAAGGGAAAGGCCCTCAACAAAATGGATAGACACAGTGGCTACAATGATGGGCTCAGGTATAGCAAGAATCATGGGGCTGGCACAGGACCAGGCAGTATTTCATTCTGCTGTGCATAGGGTTGCTATGAGTCAGAGACAACTTGACGGCACCTAACAGCAACAACAACAACATGCTAAAACACTTTCCACACCATGAAAGCCCCACTCAGGAGTAATTAGAAACCCAGACTTTCAAGTAGGCACTCAGGCCAGAAATCTAAACATCATCCTGGTCTCCTTACTTGCCTTCATCAACACTTAGCCAAGTTCTGGCTCTTCTACTTTCTAAACAGCTTTTGAATGTGCCTCTCACTTGCCTCCTGAGCACCACTTTCCTGATTCCAGGCTCCATCACCTCTCTCCTGGATTGCAGCCTCCTTACTGATCTTCCTGTTTCAGGCCTTCCCCTGCTCTAATCCACATTCCACCCCACAACCAGAGTGGTCTTCTCATAGGCAGATCTGACAATGCTCTTTTTTCAGGCCCTTCCTGTGACTTCTGGTACCCCCAGGGTAAATTCCAACATTTAGGCCTGGTCTTCAAGACCTTTTACTTTCTAACCCAGTGAACTCCCCAGTTTCGTATTCCATCATATCTTACCTTTAAGCCATTATAGGGATTGTTCCCTCAGACTGTTGTCATTGTTATTGCCATCAAGTTGGTTCTGACTCATAGCGACCCCATGTTGTTGTTTTTGTTGTTGTTATGTGCCGTCGAGTCGGAGCCGACTCATAGTGACCCCTCCTTGGGTTGCCAAGGCAGTATCACTACAGAAGTAGATTGCCCCATCTTCCTTCTGAGGAGTGGCTGGTGGGTTTGAACCACCAGCCTTCTAGTTAGCAGTCAAGTGCCTTAGGCACTGAGCTACCAGAGCTCCTAGAGACCCCATGTAATGGAATAGAACTAACCCCAGATTTCTTGACTGTAATCTTTACATGAGCAATTTGCCAGGTCTTTCTCCCACAGAGCAGCTGGGTGAGTTCAAATAGCCAACTTTTCAGTTAGCAGCCAAACACTTATCCATTATGCCATTAGGACTTCTTTACACTTTTGTTACCTTCTGGTTATCCTTGGACTTCTGTTTGGGTATTATGCCTTCTAGGAAGGCTTGCCTGATCTCCTCAGACCAACCTAGGTGACATCCTAGTGCTTCCAAAGTATAATGCTGACCTTTCCTCTCTTAAGGGTGTGTGTATGTGTGTGTGTGTGTGTGTGTGTGTGTGTGTGGTTTCCTCTGCAGATATCCTACTTCTTAACCTTCGTGTTATTTGTAACTCTTTCAGGACCACCAGGACCCAAAGGTGATCGAGGGGATGAAGGGAAGGAAGGCGAGCCTGGAATACCTGGATTACCTGGACTTCGAGGTAATGGGGAGATGCCAGGTATGGGAGGAGCTGGGAGCCACAGGCATATCTTACACTAGATTCAGAATGTTGTGGAAACTGAACCTTTGGACTTTGGAAGAGAGAGAGCCATGTAAGAAGGGAAAAAGAGGAAATTCAACCAACCCGTCTTTGAGGCCCTCCCACCCTCTTGGGGCCACCTCATTCTCCTCCAGCCATCTGAGTTTAGCATTAGAGGAATAAGTACAGAGAGACAGGTTTTCTCCACATTTCAGAAAAAAGGCCAAAGAAAACCAACTAACATTCAAAGCAAAAAAAGAGTAATTAGTTAAGGGTGCTCTGGTTTGCAGAGTTAACGATGAGCTTAGGTCAGGCCTCTTGGGGGCTCAGGGCTCTCACTCAGTGAAAGCATTTGTTGATTCTGGCTCTCTACAGTGAAGTGCAGGCCTGTGGCCATGAGGACTTGTGGCCTAAAGCCCTGGGGTTGGTCAGGCAGCAGGCCATCCATCCCATCTACTGACCTTGCTAACTCCCTTCCTCCTCCTCAGCCTCTCCTCTGCTTTGCTATACCTCCCTGGGCTTATGAGAATAATGAATGCAATGGACCTTTTTTCCCCCCCTTAACTTGGATTGGAGAAATTTACATCTTCCTCCTACTCACTATTGACCTCTACCCTCTCCCTCATCCATTAGTACCAGTCAGCCCTTTTCATCCAGCATGATGAAGCCAACTGACCATGAGCTTTCACTTCAGAAAGACCTGGGCTCAGATCCTGTTTCTAACACTCTATACTGTGTGACCTTGGACAAGTTATTTAACCTCTCTGGGCCTCAATTTCTTCATCTGTAGCACAGATGAAATAATACTGACCTCAAAGTTTGTTATGAAGATTAAATGAGATAATAGTCTGAAAAACATCCAGAACAATGCTTGGCACGTAGAAAGTACTCAAAAATCATTTGCCAGATCTAAATCTCCAGCACAGCTAGAGGTGAAGAGACAGCTCCCAAATAGGGTTGGCACCACAACTATCACTCACAACAGAGTTGGACCTCTCAGGAGGAAGGGCTCTGAGCCCAACTAGATAAAAATTGCTAATGTTGAAGATTTGAGCTGACCTTTTCAACACTGCTTTTACAGCATCTTTAACTTATCTGACAGAAGAATTAGAAAGCAGAGGTTATGGGAGGATCTGTTGTTGAGGTAGATCACTGAGCCAGACAATGATTCTAAGGGCTTTACTTGTCTGAGTCCATGGTTCCACAATGTGTCTATTTTCTCCCCAGGTCTGCCAGGGGAGAGAGGGACCCCAGGACTGCCTGGCCCAAAAGGCGATGATGGGAAGCTGGGAGCCACAGGACCAATGGGCATGCGTGGATTCAAAGGTAATAGTGAATAATGCACCCTCAGCCTTGCCTACTGATAGCCCCTGGGAAGCAGCTTGGGCATTGGAACAAGTGGATGGGAAAGTCACTTCATCTCTTGAAGCTCCAGTTTCTTTGTCTAAAAACTGGAAATCTTCATCATGCTTAACGTATGTCGTGGGGCTGTGATAAGGATTGTTGCTGTTGTCATTTGGTGCCATCCATCCAACGGATTCTGGCTCGTAGTGACCCCATGTGACAGATTGGAGGTTCTCTTGGCTATATGGAAGTAGATTGCCAGGTCTTTTTCCCAGAGAGCTGCTAGGTGGTTTAGGTTAGCACTAGCAGTTGAGCCCTTAATCATTTGCACCACCAGGGCTTCCTTTCAAAAGGATTAAATGAGACATACATGTGTGAAATGCTTTGAAAAGTCTAAAGTACTTCAGAAAATGTAGCATCACCACTAGTTGCACCCAAGGATTGTAACTGGGGAAAGCCAGAAGGATAAGCCTGAAGAAGAAACACTGGTGGCACATCTCTAGGCTGGCAGCCCTAGTACCGCCCACCTTCTCACCACTACTGCTCAGTCTTAACATTCTCTCTATATATATACATTTTTTTCTCCCAGATTTTGAACTTCATTTCTAAGTTTTACATTGCCAACATTTCTTTTGTATTTTTCTTCCTGTTGATACGTAACTTCCTTAACTTTAACTTCCTTTTTCATTTTTATGAGAACCTAATTTATGGACCTTCGCTTTTCATGTTCCTTTCAAAAGTGTCCAAACCTCCTAACATCGTGTCAGATAAGCTTCCCTACATTTACCTACTGCTGTCTGAAGTGGCCCATGTCTAGGGTGGTCTCTCGACCTTAGATCACTAGGACATTTTATTCTCCTTTCTGGTTAATGGTTAAACAGGCTGAGGTTTTCCCTTCTTTCATGATGTACTTTTTTAAAAACTTGATTTATAAAATTATAAAATGATTTTTGATTATAAAAGCAGTACATGCTTGTTAAAAGAAAATTAAATAGTACAGAAATGTGCAAAGTGAAAAATGAGAATTCCCTCTCCCTCTTCCTTTAGCACTTACTCCTTGGAATAACCACTATAAACACTTTGGAGTATATCCTGCCAGACATTTTTCTAAGCACATACATATATGCATATATGTGTATATAGTTGCCTTTGTTTTTATAAAACTTATGTTACACTAGGCATTCTGTCCTGTAACTTGTTGACTTGCTCTTTTCACTGGATAATATGCAATTTGCAGAGTTACCTTTCTAGAAGGAATTGGAACAGAATTCCCTGGTCTTTTTTAATGCCCATTGAGTGGTATCAGAGCCTTCTCCTTTGTAGAATGAGATACCAGGCAGGAAGAGTGCTCTGTTCTTTTAACCATCTCCTCAAAAGGAAATTCCACAATTCCCTGGGAAAATCTCTCTCGTGTTTTATAGCCTCTGCCGGAAGATATGTCTGACATATAACCTTTCTTGCTCTCTATATAATTGAAACTTTTTTTCTCCCTCTCACTGTTCTTAGATGTGGACTTCTAAAACCTTGACTACTTAGTAGGAAAATCTATGCTTTTTTTTTTTTCTTCTTCTTTTAGCTAAATATCACATGTTCTTGTAGTCTGTACTGGGAGGTGCTGTCTTTCACTACATTAATTACAAGGAAATTAGACTTTTTCACCTGGGCCTTCTGCTTTCTCCCCCAGGTGACCAGAACCTGCAACCTAATAGCTGGTGCTTCTATCTTCCCTAGTAGCCCTAGTGGCATAGTGGTCAAAGCATTTGGCTGCTAACCAAAAGGTCAGCATTTCAAACCCACCAGCTGTTCCAAGGTAGAAAGATGAGGCAGTCTGCTTCCTTAAAGATTTACAGCCTTAGAAATCCTATGAGGTAGTTCTACTCTGTCCTGTAGGGTCACTATGAGTCTGAATCCACTCAATGCCAGTGGGTTATCCTCCCTCCAGGAGCTGCTGACTTGGCCTGAGAGTGTCTCTTGACCTAGGTCAATAGGTCTCTTTCAGATAACTTTTATTCACAAATAGGTTTTGTTTCCATCTTTAATTACAGTTTTTCTCCTCTGTTTCAGGTGACCGAGGCCCAAAAGGAGAGAAAGGAGAGAGAGGAGACAGAGCACGAGATGCCAGTAAGGAAATTCTGTTGGCAACCTTGGATAGTGTATCAGCACAGGTGTAGCTGTTGCCACACAGCCCAAGATTAGGGGTCTGGAGTCTGGAGGGGCCAAGGGCCAGGGCTGAAGTGTCATAGGAGCAGTCGTATCTACCTTAAGGCTCTGCTACTTTAGGAGCACAGACTGTTTCCATAGGTGGTATAAGCCTGGAGGTTGTGTGGATGGATCTGGAGGCAGATAGCCCAGGCTCCCTCCTGGCTGACTCATTAACTAGCTGTGTAATCACTGTGCTTCAAGGAGCTCTGGTAGTGCAGTGCCTAAGGCATTTGACTGCTAACCAGAAGGTTGGCAGTTCAAACCCAACAGCCACTCTGCAGAAGGAAGACTGGGCAATCTACTTCTGTAAAGTTTTATAGCCTTGGAAACCCAAAGGGGATTGCTATGAGTTGGAACTGACTTGATGGTAGTGAGTTTGGTTTTGGTTTTTGATCTCTGTGCCTCAGGATTGTTAATATATGAAATGAAGATAGTAGGAGTTCCAACTTCAAAGGGCCATTGTGATAATTAAATGCTTAATCTATGTAAAGCCCTTATTGCAGTGCCTGGGCCCCTGGTTAGGACTCAATATGTGTTATTACTATTCCACATAATATCTACTTTAGATATACTTTCTAAAATCATTGAAGATCTTGCTAAAATTCAGTTACTCAACTTACTAAAATGTATTATTTCCATGAATACGTCCATGGACGGGAGGGGGGTTGGTTAGAGAGACAGAGGATAAATTACAAAGCTGCAGTAAGAGATTGGACCACTCTGCTTTCCTCCTTTGCCTTTAATCAAGTGGTAAGGCTGGAGAGCTCATTATTTGGCAGCCAACCAAGTCCAAGAAAGGGCGTCTTTCTGACAAGAAGCCTTTCTAGAATGTTTACAAGGGAAGCCAGCTTATCTAGTTATAGCACTCTTGTCTGAGGTTTATTTTTTCCCCAATAGGCAATATGTAGAATCTTGGAGAGATTTCCAGACAAGGATGAATTGATATTCCTAGCCAGCTTTCAAAAAAATACTAGCACATAGTATTTGTTGGGCTCTGAAATGCTGCCATTGTGTGCGGCCATAAGCAGATTATCCTTGTTTAAAGCATCTGGGCTCTACTCTTGGCTCTGCAGACACCTGGCCTGGGGAAAGAGGGCTTGTGTTCTAGGTTCTAGAACCTAGGCAGATTCACAAGTGGGACCCAGATTGATGTTTTCCCTAAGGGTGGTCTTCCTTAGTTTCCATAGGTCCCTAAAATGATACTTTCCTCCCAGTTAGTGCAGGAGCAGGGTGGGGTAGGGCTGAGCAGCACAAGTGGGGTGGGGCAGGGGTTAGTCAGGGCAAAGGAGATGAGAAAAGCCTGGCCAGGCCAACAGAAGGGCCTGCTCGCTCCTTTCTCACTGGCTTCTGCCCTGAACCAGCAGACCTCCCTCCTGAAAAGAGCCCTTTCCCAAGGTCTCAGACTCCAACTATGACACTTAAGCTCACCTCGCATGTCCTCTGTCCTTCCCTTCCCTAAGAGAGTGGTTAGAAGAATCAGATAAGATAAATGTGTGTGACAGCACTTTGAAAACTCCAAAGTGATAGAAATACTTGATAACCTATGGAAATGCCTTGGCTTACCATGGACTCCCCATGCCCATCTCACCTTCAATGTTATAATCTACAAAACAGTTTATATTTTTCAGTTGTCCTACCATTATCTAAAGTCCCTTTCAAGAGCAGCCAAGGGCTTAACTGGAAGTATCCTAGCCAAATGAGGAGATCTGGTGGACCTTGCTGGGAGCCAAAAGGGTTTGAAAGCAAAGGAAGGGGGTCTGGATATTATTTAAGACATCTGTGACAAATCTAAGTCACATCTATAGTGGGCTGGTTGCTAAAGATTGTCTTAGCAGTGCTGCTTGCTTTCTCCTACTCTGTTTGTTGACTGGTTTCTGACAGAATGTTGCCAAGGTAGCTAAGAAGGATCTTGACATTTAACTCTGTAAAATAAATAAATCCTGATGGGGGTGAAGAGGAAGGGAGGAACTGTGGAAGGATGACCTTTGAAAGGAGATCAGAAATGCTGTCCACATACCGGAGGGGTTCTTCTCAGGAATTTTTTGGCCGTGTTCTTGAAAGGAGGAGGTCCAAGAGTAGTAGAACCTGGGGAAAGGCAGTAGTTTTTGGTGAATGAATGTGAAGGATGCTTTTCTGGCTATTTACCTTGCTCCTTGGGCTGGCTGGGTGGGCTCTGCACTTGGATTGGTGTCTGAGGCTGAGGGCAAGGGGAGAGGTAAGCATTGTGGGGAGGGGAAATGAGAGGCACAGTAGTGTAAGATTCCCCTGGGAATAAAGTGGGAGCAATGGGGGAAGGGTGGCTAATCCACTTGGCCTTAGAGTTTATTGACTACACACCAAGAGACTGACATCAGCTCTAGATGGCCATTCCTCAGGGACTTTCTTTCCTGCCCTGAAGAGGTTACACCCTTACTGGAACCCAGAGTTCAGATAACAGTCCTCCCTTGCACAAAGCACTAAGCTTTTCCTTCCTTTCCCCTGACAAGACCCCAAAAGTAGTTTCCATGTGTGATGAAACTAAAAGTTGAGTTGGCTCAGTAAAGAGAGCTCTGTGGACAGGGGGTTTTACACAACATGAGAAGGAATTTGGGATAGATACAGAAATTATAGAATAACAAAACTGGAAGGTCATCCATCCATCTCCTCTTCTTCAGAAGTCCAGACTTTCTCAAGTCATTGGGCAATGACAGAGCTGGAGCTAAAACCTCAGACCTCTGACTTCTTTAATTCTGGAATGAGCTTAGACCAGTGGTCTGGGAGAGCAGGTTGGTCTTCTCCAGGGAGCCTTAAAACTCTTAGTGATTTTTCAGCAAGTATCTCTAGAAACTGACTTAAGGGCCTGAGGCTGAAGAGGCACCACTGAAGTGATACAGTCCTTGGGTCTGTGCCTGTCCCAAGGGTGGTCTGTGCTTTCCCACAGCCTCCACCCTCTCACCTGCCTCTGACCAAGCTAACACCAAGTTATATTAAGACTCCTGGTTATGTTTCCAAGGATCTCCAGTCCCAGAGATGTTAACTATATCCCTGAGACCAACGCTCTAAGGAGGAAGCCAAGGATCATCTTTCAGAAAAGTGTGGAAATTCTGACGAACACTGAATGCCCACTTGTGGGGGTTTCTTAAGTCAAATTTCCCAGAGCAAGGGCAGCTCCAGCATAGGATTTAATGGGTGGGAAGAAGGAATTCTCAACACCAGAGTTTGCCCTCCTCCAAAAGTGAATACCACAGAAGAGGAGCTGTTAACCAAGCTGGTTTCTGGTAACCCAGCTTTTGCCTGAGGCTATGGAGCCTCTAGGAGCCTTGGTGGTGCAATGATTAAGCACTCAGCTGCTAACCCAAATGTCAACAATCCAAACCCATCAGCCATTCCATGGGAAAAAGATGTGGCAGTCTGTTTCTGTAAAGATTTACAGCCTCAAAAACCTTATGGGGCAGTTCCACCCTTTCCTATAAAGTCACTATGAATCAGAATCAACATGATAGCAATTTTTTTTTGTTGTTGTTGTTTATGGAGCCTTTAGGAGTTTTCTAGGTCACACAAACAGTTAAGTCCTTGACTACTACTAGAAAGGGTGGCAGTTTGAACCCATCCAGGGGCACCTTGGAAGACAGGCCTGGTGACCTGCTTCTGAAAGGTCACAGCCTTCAAATCTCTATGGAGTACAGTCTTACTCTGCACGGATGGTGTCACCGTGAGTTGGAATCAACTTGAGGGTAACTAACAACATGGAGCCATTCCCAACACCTAAATGTGAACCTTTAGTAGCAAAAACGTAAAGTTCCAGCAGGTGGAGATGTTATTACATTAATGGGATTGGTGAGAAAAACAAAATAGATACCCTCACTTCAGAATAGGAAGGTGAGGGTTTTCCTTTGAAGAGTACATTATGCAGAAGACTTCTAGTGAGCCATGTTTTGAGTCAATGTTAAAATATTTTTCAGAACAAAATCTTGCAATTTTTACTCATGTTTTGATCTGGAGTAATAGAATTTTAAAGTTGGATGGGGTTTTAGATTAACTTCTCTCATATTCCAACTCCACCCCACCAGTTCATTGAAGAGGAGCCAAGGCTAGAGAGATGGAGAGCATTCCCCAAGGTCACTTTGCTTAGATCAGTGGCCAAATTGGATCTAGAATCCAGATCTTCTGATTTCTGCTTGGTAGGAAGTAAAGATTTTTCTGGTATGGGCAATATCAGTCATTCAGTTCCATGTTTGGCTTTGGGAGTTTGGCCAGGAAAAAAAAAAAAAGAGAGTTATGTACACACATCTCAAGACAGAAAGCATTTGTTTTACCCTAGAATATGGTCAATTTGAAGAAAAAATAAATATTTGTACAGCAAGGGGGCTAGGTAACAGGTCTAGTTTTAAGTCCCATAGCATGAATTCAAAGGAAGGACCTAAGTTCAGATCATTTAAAAAACCTTTCTCAATTTGGTGTCATGTGGGAAAATAAAAATATACAGAGTGAAGGGTAAATTGTAAGCCAATGCTTGTTGATAGTTTTCATTGGCATTTCAAAAAAACTTGAAAAATGTTTTAACACCTTGTGTATGTTTTCAAGATTTAAACAAGTAGTGGGGAGGGTGACCTGGTGGGCACTCCAGCATGCAGTTGATCTCAGTAGAATTGTCTGAGGGGATGGTGGTTAGATAGGTTTTCCTATAGCTGCTGAGATGTTTTCCCATAGCTGCTGAGATGTTTCTGTGTTTTAGAATAAGGGATGCAAAACTAGTCCTTTTGAGTCACTGAACTCCCTTCTTGTGCGTAGAGTTGGCTGTACTAGGTATACCAGGGAATCCGTTGAGGATAATGTAGTACTAGAAAACTGTAACACCCATTGCCGTGAGTTGATTTCTGACTCCTGGCGACCGCATGCGTGTCAGTGTATTACTGTCCCCCATAGGGTTCTCAATGGCC